AGCGCAAGCGGTGGGTTGCCAGCACCGGGTTTGGCTGCACTATTCACTGATGCAGCCAGTTTTGAGCAAGTTTCCTCGCCTGGGGCGAAACGGTGAGGGCTGGTGCTCTGCTGCCAGGTGCCTGAGCTGCTCTCTGGGTTATGTGTGCTTGCCTCAGGGGCTTTATTTTGACTCTGCATCAGCCACTGAGGTAGGACATGGGTGGCAGCCAAGCAGGCAGGTGCTCAGGGCAGCGAGTTGCTTTGAGCGGCAAAATTTCCCGTCCTCCTGCTTAACTCTGCTGAGGCTGGGAGACAGGGCAAGGGAGAGGGTGTGCCCACACACAAGTGGGGATGGCTGATGCCTTGGGCTCCCCCCCGGCCTGCTGTTGGCCTCTCACACACCTTTAGGGAGGGCAAAAATTTGGCAGATGTGCAGGAACCTCTCGATAGCCTGCAACGTTGTGAAGATGGTTTCCAACCCATGCAGCAAACTTGGTGCCCCGCTCTGCTTCCCCTCTGAGTGGTGCCCCAGCCCCTGGTGCCTGCCCCTTCCCTTTCCCCTTCTCCTCTCTCTCCCTTTTTCCTTCCACCTCATTACCCCCGGGGGAGGCCTCCTGCTTTTTGGACAGGACAAAGTCTTGGCCCCAGCATGCTGGCAGGCAGCAGAGCTCTGGTCTCCTTGCACCCGTGTGAGGCAGGATGGAGAGGCTGTGGGGCAAGGATGTCCTCCACAGTACACTTCAGGAAAGGTCTATCCTCCATCCCCCTGCCCCCCGGTTTCTTAAAAGGTCTCAGATTTATGCTGTTGGGATAACAATCTGCCCCCGGGGGGGCTGCGCCTGCAGCATCCTTCCTTGCAGCTTTGGTGGGAGGAAGGCTTAACCCCTCGCTCTTTCGGTCCCCCATTAGGGAAGGGGCAGCGCAAGGCCAGGTGCCTGGGGCCAGTGGTTTTTAGACATTCAGGCAGGAAAGGGTTTTGTTAGGCTGCAGTCCCTTCCTAAGGGGAAAAAGGAAGGAAAAAAAAAAAAAAAAAAACAGGCTTGGCAAGGCTTAGTGCAGCAAAAGATCCAAACCTTTGGTGAATAAAGCAGCTGGGAGAAACAGTAAAGCTGGAAGAGCAGCACGGGGGATGGTTGTTCGGGGGACGGTTGTTCGCTGTTGCCTCAGGAAGGGATGATCTTGAGCCAGATCCCAAGGGTAGCTCGTGCCCGTTAGGAACTGGCCCACAGCAAGAAAGCCAAGTCCAAGCGCCTCACCACAGATGCAACCGCAGGAGGTTTCTGCCTTAAATAAACACGGCGCTGGGAGCGAACTGCAGAGAGGCGCTGCGCAGCCAGCAGCTCGCCTCGCTCGGGTGCTGCGGCGCGTCTCCTCTCTGCAAAGGCAGAGGGTGAGGGGGTGAAGTGCAGTCCTATTTCGGCCCTGCCTTCTTTGGGCTGGAGAGGGCAACAGTTTGAGAATTCCAAGGTTGTGGCTGTCCCTGCTCCCTGTGGGGGAAAGCTGGGACAGGAAGATCCCTGTGGAGAAGAGGATTTGGCCATCTTGGAGTCTTCTGTAAAAGAGAAAGCAGGAGCCCAGGCTCTCAAGTGTGTCCAGAGACAGGGGGGTGCCTTCACCACCACTGACCGGTCAGGAACACGTAAGAAGGAAGGCAGCTAGGGGAAGCAGTCTGGAGAGCTCAAGTGAGCTCTTGGTGGGCTTTATGACATCTGTGAAACAAAAATAACAATACAGCTAGGGGCAGGCCTTCTACTCTGCCTGCTGTTTTTCCTTGCAGAATTATTTAAGAAAATCTGGACAGGTCTCCCTCCTAACCTTACCTCTCCAGTCCCAGCGGCAGATCCCTCAGGCCTTGGAGAGAAGAGCCTTTCCTGCTGTACAATTACACCGCTACTTTTGCAGCGCTGGTGACAGGTATAGAGAGAAGGTTCAGGCTTAAATCGTGACGATGATACACAACAGCAGTGTGCTCCAAGTGTAACCAAGACAACTGATCTTTTGTAAAACTTTGCCCAATAAAAATAACATTAGGGAACTCTTAGAAAGCAACCCCCAGCAGTGAGCCCTTTCCATGTGTTCAGGTAAGAAAGTCCTCGTTTGGGATGTAAAATCGACACCAGAAAGCTGGTAAATGCCAGCTTTACAATTACCTCAGCAATCTTTATCTGGCTCCCATGTGCGTAATGCTGATTTGATGAAAAATTCACACATTATTTCCTTCACATGATCCTGACTCATCCAGTGCCCAGGAAGTTGCATCCTTAGTTCTGACATTTTGCAGACTTTGAATGATTGATTAAAGCATTTAAATAACTTACTTCAGACGTAAGGGCGGTGGTTGTTGTTAAATGTAATTATTGTTGTTTAAATGTAATTATTTTTACATTATGACTAATTATAAATGGATATTGTTAATGGAAGAACAAAATTTGTTTATCAGGGCTTGAATTCTGCAGTCATCGGGAATAAACACACCAGGTAATGAGTTTGGCAATAAAATGACAGCCTTAGGCATAGACCAGATTTAGCGCCGCCCTTTCTCTTTGTATCACACTTCCTTCCTCCCACGAGCTCAGCCCACTCAAAACCTGTGTAATTTCTTCCTATAAAAGGATGTGCCTGTTTCTGCTCAGATTTCTAAAGCATATGCCTTTATTTCCTAAATATGTTCCTCAGTGGGAACTCTCCTAATGGATTTACAGGCCCATTTTATCACTCTTTCTGGGATGGATGGGACTGAAAGAGCTGAAAAAGTTGGGGTTTGATTTAGAGTGAAGGGGAGGAGGCCTGTGGTGAACAACCTGTGAACAGGGGAGCAGAGAGAAGTGGGATAGGAGTGGGAGCCTCTGGGTGAGATGATCATGTGGCAGCACAGTATGGTCTCTGGGCAAACACGCCCCAGGTCAGTATCTGTTCTTCCCCCAGTTTCCCCTTTTACAGGTTTTATTCTGAAAGGAAAGGAGTGGGAGAGGAGGAGTATTCCTTTTCCCGCTTACTTAAGCTCCCCAAATCTCTAATGAACTCTAGCTTACCAAGACTCAGCTTTCAAAAAAACCCTGATTAGGTGAAAGAAAGCAGAGGGAATTAGCAGCAAATAATTTTTTTTTTGCAAAAACTCACCGCGTAATTTGGGCATCTCTGCTTCAAAATACATGCACATTTTCAAAATGAAGATTTCCAAACCTGACTTGCACAAGAACTTCTTCAGCAGAGCTGTCGTGAGATCTGCCTCTCTTGGCTAAAGGATGTTTTTTTGCACTTAGAGACCAAACCACTTTTTGGTTTGTTTTGTTGTTTTGTTTTGTTTTGTTTCTTTGTTTGGTTGGTTGGTTGGTTTTGTTTTGTTTTGTTTTTTAACCATATCACATTGTTGGCTCATTTCTGCGACATTCACAAACACCATCAGGTTTCCTTCAAAACCACTCCAGTCAAAATGTCTTTTTTGCCCGAGAAATAAATACCAATGACCTACTTCCCCTGCATGTGTTATCTTTCGTTTATCCAGAGCCCCAGCACCTTCAATTGCATCTGCGTTACTTCTGTATTCTTTCCTGGGTTTTCAACATCATTACATTTAATATCAAATGATAAATTGAATTTGCGTGACGTTTCCTCTGCTTGGGCTGTTAACTGAAGTGCATCTTGCAGCTGGGAATTGGGCACCGCATCCCGTAGAGTAGCAGGAGTTTCCAAGAAGCGGTTGAAACTTGGCCATCCCTCGGTCTGGTCGTGAACTCCAGAAAAACGGGATGTAAACCTGCTGTTGCCTACTCCGCTAGCTGACACCCAGATGCTTCCAAACTTTGGCTGCCAAACTGCAAAAGCCCACCAAAGGTGTAGCTTATGCACTGGTTAACATGTTTGTAACCTCTGTATACGGAGTCCACAAAAATCTTTATCTAGTAGGTGACGGAAAGTATTTCTGAGCTCAGTGATCTGGAAACCAACGACTCGGTTCGATATCAATTCCAAAGGAATTTCAATTTTGGAAAAATATAAATTTACGTCTAGACATCTCCTCTTTTATTCCCCTCATGGACTCCCAAGCCATATTGTCACAAATTCTCAGTAACGCCACCGTGCCTCAGGAATGCTGATTGCAGCCATGACTGAGCACCTTTCGAGGCCAAGACCTCCATCGCAGAAATTTTAGCCCAGGGCTACGTTGCGGTGCTGTTTCCCATCACCTTTTGTTTGCCTTTTTAATTAGTTTCCACTACATGGGATCTGCCTATACCCAAGGCAACCTGAAATTATTTTTCAGGGCCGCGTAAGATGCCTCTCCTCACTGCCCACAGTTACAACCGCTGCCGTGCCCACCCAGCCTCGCCTCTCTTTATGTGCGCGTGCTGCCTGTATCTTGGTGTGTGGGGGGGTTGTTTACATATTTTTTTTTTATACCTTCAGCATTTGTTGCATTATTTTACTCTGGACTGAACAGAGGCTTTCTGGGTGGCGATCTGCAGATCCACCTTTTGTCTAAGCCGCGCAAGGGATATGTTACTGAGTACGTCTCCATGATGGAGGCCGTACAGACTCTGTTTGTTAAACTCCTTCAGCTTGTAAAAGACCACAGCTCGCTCAGTAACCGGCAGGCGGCTGGGCGCAGAGGTTTGGTGCGAGCAACGTTGAAAAAAGGCGGGGAAGCGGTTGCGAGACCCACGGCAGAAAGCATCGCGCCGCGGGCGTTGGCTTGTGGGGCGAACCGCCGTGGGGACGGCGGCGAGCCCCCCTTTTCCCGTGGCAGGCAGCAGAGGGGAGGGCAGAAGAAGCCACCCCCCCGCGGGAGCCCCGGGAATGCGCCTTTTTTTTTTTTTTTTTTTTTTTTTTTTTTTTTTTTTGCGGGGGCGGCGAGGGGGGGCGGTTCCCGGCGCCGTGAGGGAGCGGCAGCGGCGGGAGGAGAACGCGCGGCCCTCGCGCGCGGGCGGGGGAGGGGCGGGCAGCGGCACGGCGTGGGCGGGCGGCCCCGGGCCAATCGGGCGCGCGCCGCTGGCGGGCGTCGCGAGGCGGCTTCAGCACGACCGACCCGCCGGCTGCGGCATCCATCACACCCCACCCCCACCCCCCCCCCACCGCCGCTCCGGTACCCGCCTTGCGGGGGCGGTGCAGGAGGGGAATATTATAAAAAAAAAAGAAAAAAAAAAAAAAAAAAAAGGGGGGGGGCAGGGAAAACGGGAGCGGCCCACGTGATGGGCTGCCGCAGCCAATGAGGGCGGCAGGAGGTTGCGCGTGGCAGGCGAAGGCCGCGGGAGCCGCGAGCGGGGCGCGTGGGCCGGGGCGTTGCTCGGCGCCGCGTGGAGCCGCGTCGGCGGGAGGCAGGTAGGAACCGACACCCCCCCCCCCCCCCCCCTTCCCGCTCCGTTCTTCCATTACCCCACCCCCACACCCCAAAACGCTCCGGTTTTGAAGTTTTATTCGAGGAAGGTGGCGTGAGGTGTGCGCGTCACGTGAGCGCGGCGGGTCCAATCACACGTGCGCGCTCCCCTCCCCTCCGGCCGGCGGGGCCGCGTTTGAGGCGCGGCGGGGCTGACCCGGTCCCCTCGCCCGCCCCGGGGTCGCGGACGGACGGAGGGGCGGACGGGGCGGGGGATGCGCAGTGGCTGGCGGTCACCTGACGGGGAAGGGGTGGTGGGGGTTAAAGGGACCGAGCAGCCCCGCCGCTCCGCATCCGGGCTCTCCGGCCGGGAAGGGTCGGGTGAGGCCCGGCCCCGACCAGTTGCCGCCTCCCCCCACAGCCATCGCGCTCCCGGGGACCGTCCCCCCGGCGTTGAGGGGGGGCTGGGGAGGGGGGAGGCGTGGCCGGCGCCAACCGTGTGACGGGGCTGGGCTTCCCGCCGCCTCGCCTCGCCCCGCCCCTCCCCGCCCCGCCGCGGTGGGAGAATCCGTTCCCGAGGATCTGCCCCCGGGTGTAAGGGGGGGGGGGGGGCGGGGAAATGGACGGCGCCCGCCCCTCCGCCCGCTCGGTGCCGCGGGGGGGGTGAGGCGGAGCGGCCGCGGGGGTGGCGGGCGGCGCGCGTGCGCCTGCGGCACGTCGCGTGAGGCGGCCGTTGGTGGCGGGCGGACGGCAGTGCCTCCCCCTCACACACACTCTCACACAACCTCCGTTCCCGCCGCAGTACCCCGCCACCGCTCGTTTATCGGCGGCCCCGCGCTCCCCGCCGTCGTTCTGGTATCTTCCAGCTTTTCCTCCGGCGCAGGCCCGAGCGCCGCCCGGGCCGAGGACGCGCCTGCGTGGCGCGGGAGGCGGCTTCGTGTGGCGGGATCGAGCGCTGGGCCGGGTGCCGCCGAGGGGAGCGGAATAAACAAACAGCGGCGCTTTCCTGGGAGGGCGAGGGCGGTGCCGGTGTTGGGTTCGGTGGCTGCCGGTGGCCTTAGGTACCACGCTAGTTGATAAGCAGTTTAAAAAGGGGGGTTTAAAAATGGTAAGGTGAGCTCAGTCTGTAGATGGTAGGCATGAAGGCTAGCAGTTATTTCATCAGCCTGGTTAGGTGAGTGGTTTCCAATCATGCGGTTTGAATTTCTTGCCGAGCTTCTTAAGATGTCAAAGCTTACACAGTCACACTGCCTTACTTCTAACTCAGTAATATCCAAACTCATGGGTCGTCTTTAATCGCACTTGGTGAAGTGGGCTAAAGCCCTGAAGATTTGCAGTTGCCTCAGACTTTGAAAACCAAAGGTTGTGTATAAAGAAGAGGGCAGGCTGAGGATTTGCTCTTACGACTTTAAGGTGTTTTGCCCGATGAAGCCACTGGCTCTGTGGCTGCAGCACCCTTTCCATGTCTTTGGGCACAGTTCCCAGGGAAGTCTGTACTGAGAACTGGGGCAGGGAATGGATTCTGCCAGAAAAATGTTCCTGTGGGTAACCATTTTTGTGCATGTATGTGTGTTTATGTGGGGAAGGTCTGACAGAGATGGACAGCACTCCTTCGCTTGTGTATTTCACCTGGCAGCAACAGACCATTAATCTCACCTACTGTTTGCTTAGTGTTGGTAGAGATGCTGTTGTGCCTGCCACGGGAGAGAAATGTGCAACTGGAGGAAAACAAATGGAAAACCAGTTTGTGAATAAACTTGTTTGGTCAGCTAATCAGGAAAAAAAAAAGAAATTCTTTCTCTTTGAGCCTATGCTACTTCTTCATTCACATTCAAATCAACTAGATCACTTCTAAAGTATGTGGCTGTGTATGTTGGCTTTTTAAAACCTAATTTCCTAAGGAATGGGAAGTCCTAGACATTCTTTTTACAAACACAATGAAATAGATCTTTGCCTAGGGGAGTGAGAAGGAGGCTGTCCCTGTCATCCCTTTGCTGTTTCATAGACAGCTGAGAATCTACTGAAAAATTCCTCCATGGTATGCACATAGGAAACTGCCGCTAGTGTGACACCAGCAAGGCTTGCTTGATATCTTGTTCTTCCATAATTAAGGATATGTTGGGATGTGTGGGTGGTTTTGTTTTGTTTTGTTTGTTTTTGTATGTGTGTGTTGTTTGTTTGTTTGTTTTTTAATACTGGATGACTTTAGAACAAATAATCGAATGATGGTGGTGGAGTTGCTCTTCTCTCTCCGCAGAAAGATGGAATGTGCTTTTACTGTTGGTTTCTGGCAGGTTTTAGTACTCGTGATGAAGCCTTGATATATCTTTCTCTGAACTGGATGAGGAAGAATGCAGTGAGAATGATGATGGCTTGTCATGAGAAGAAAACAACCAGGAGAAAATACTATTTTTTTTTTCTTTATTTTTTTTTTTTTTTAATCAATCCTAGAACAGAAAGGCAGTAAGGGATGTGAACAGCATAAGACAGAAAATGAATGTGGGAGTCAGATAAAACATATCTACAATAAAAACGTTTGCATTCATTGCTACAGTCACTATCTTCAGGAAAAAACAATTTGGAGAATGACAAGATAGTGACCTAATTACTGTTAAACAAATACTTGTGATGATGGAATTGTGCTGTTTTGCTAGCTCTTGCAGTACAGTGCTTTCTGCAAATATGGTGTGGTCCGCCTGGCCACTGGGTAAGTCGGTAAGTCAATAATGAAGATGGATATAAACCTTTAACCCGTCACCAACAGTCTGATACTTTAATTGGTGTTACTCTCCTGTTTACCATAACTTAAAAGGGGTTCCCTGGCATTTCTAACTTGATGAGCCATAGGTGACTGTAGCAGTGAGTATTGCTATAAGACATCAGCTGAATGAATGGGATAGTCCTGAGCTTGAATGAGGGCTTTTTTACTTGTCTGACTTGTTTTGGTGAATTTTCTTTTTTTTTTTTCTTTCCTCCTATGATGCAGACAAGATCTCCAGCTGAAGATTTATGTATGTGATAAATGTTCCTCATGATGGCCATAAAGGGACTGAAATTCATCAAAATGGTGTTATTCCTGTTGATTATGGCTTGTTTCTGCCAGTGTTGCATGGCAAAAAGCATGACACATTGCTTTATTCTTTTATTTTTTAATTTTCAGTAGTTGAAATAATAGTATATTGAAAAAGTTACAGTAGTCATTGAACGTATGAGTAGTGAGCATATCCATGACTTTCTGATAAAATATACAAAATACTTTATTTTAAATGTTGAAATAATAACTTATTGTATACAGATAAAAAAGAACAATTATTTGTAGTGAACTGGCTTCTCTCCCTGCCTTCTCACCTGCACCTCATGCTTTATATCAATGGATTGTGTGATTCCATTTTGCAGTCTTCAGGGTTTGGGAAGATTTCAGTATTTCCCAGAAGATCAGGTAACTCATGGGAGACGGAGAATATTGCGCACTGTATATTGCAGGATCAATGCTGGTAAACAAAGCACCAACTTTCCGGGGGACTGAAAGTTTGGGCTTTTGGGGCAAAGTGTTAGTTATGGGGTGGTGAAGCGGGTATTTCCTTCCTGCCTGCTCCCCCCCCCCCCCCCCAAGTGTTTGGCCTGTTCCTCCAACAGAAGTGCTGCTTTTGCAGGGGTGTAGCTGGCACTAGGTGAAGCGCTTCCTGAACCACCGCCTTATTCATCCTGCCACAGTCAGGGCTCTGAGTGTTAAGTGAATTTGGTTTTGGTATAAAGTAATTAAGTTAATTTGGTTTTTGTATAAAGGAATGCTCTGGGCTGAAATCTGATGGCGCACGAGCTGTGTCATACTTGCTGTTGGGATAACGCATTCTGTGTGTGGCTGGAGCATGCATTTTAGCATGTTTGCAATCATCAAGAAAACCTGAATCTGGAAAAGCAGATTTCTTGCTCCCCCTGCCCCCCCCTCCTCAGCAACAGTCCATTTCTTGCAAGACATTTTTATTTAATCTCACACTTTTTAGCTAGATTCTGCTGCCACTTAACACCTTTAATCTTCTTGACACTGGATTATGCTTCCTCACTATAGCTAAAGGAAGGATTTAAGCAACTTCTCTATCATAAATAAAATGATGTAAACTTTTTTTTTTTTTTAAGTAGATTTGGGCTGGGATTTTGTTGCCTAAGGACAGGGGTCCAGAGCTGTCATAAGTGCTGCAGGTTCTCAGAGACATCTGTGTAGAGAAAACATTAAGCTCTGGGGGGACAGTATTCTTCTGGAGAAGCACTTGGTGGCCAGTGGGGCCAGTTATGTAATAGAAGATGGGACTAGGTACCTTTCTATAAGCAGTTAATCCAATCCAGAGTTTCAGAACTAACAGACTTTCTTGTGGGGTGCTACTGTGTTAATCATTCTCCAAAGTGGCAAAACATTGGCTAAAGAAGGTATGGGTTTGTATTTTAACCCTTCTGGCGTGCACCACGTTGCACAACACTTCTAACTAGAACATAACTAGATTTTCAGGTCTTTGAATTTTTTTTTTTTTCCAATGACCAGAACTTGAGACTCTGTATGATTGTCAGGGCTGCCTGGCTGTAGTTAGTAATACGCTTGTAGGCTCAGGTCTGCTGACTGCCTGCCGCTGTGGGTGTATTACATTGGCACAGTTGGTTTTGATAGCTGTTGTTTTCAGCCGGTGAGTATAGTTTCAGCTAGTGTTTGTTTTTAGCTAGTGAATTTGGGAGCTGAAAGCCTCCTTTATGCTCCAGTAATGCTCCAGTAGTAGCGCCTGTCAAAGTATACTGTATGACAGAGATGTCCTGTCGTGTATCTACTTGTGTAGTACAGGTCTTTGTATTTGAATGGAACGGGTATTGCTAACAAAAAATGTAATCCGCACCGCTTTTATGTTTTCCACAGGTTGGCAACTGTTACATTCTGCTTAACTATGTCTGTAACGTTGCTTTCCCAAACCCAAATTTCTAGCAAAGCCTGGGCCTTATGACTGTTCAGCTCATGATCTGT